TGCCCTGCGCTCCGCTCCCCCTGCCCCTCCCTGGCCCTTTTGCCCTGTCCTGCTGCATCTTAGGACCGGGCCGCCCGCCCCCACCCCTGCTCCCCGCCTTGGTGGCCGTCACCTTGCTGTCTGGCGCATCCACTCCTGGGAAAGCAGCACCCGAGGGTGGGTGTGCTGCCGGCGCTGCAGCCTCCTGTTTCGTCCTCGCCGTCATCTGGGCGTCTTCTGCCTGCGGCCTGAGCTTCCCCCTCTGCTCCTCCTCTCGCCCGTGCTGCCCAGGGCTGTCCTGGGCTCAGCCCCTGGTGCCACCCACCTGTGTGCACCTGCGAATCCCCACCCCAAGGGCGAGGGGGAGAGCGCCTGAGCTTCAGAGAGGGACAGGGAACTGGGTGTCAGGGGCCAGAGGAGCCCAGTTACTGCCAGGGCCCAGCCCCTGAAGTTACATGCATGACCATTCAATTAAGAAAAGCCAGAGGCGGGGTGTGGTGGTGCTCGCCAGTAATCCCAGCACTCAGGAGGCTGAGGCAGGAGGATTACCTTGAGTTTGAGGCCAGCATGAACTGCATAGCACCTGTCTCAAAACAAAAACCAAAAAAGAAAAAAGCCTGAGGGAGTCACCGAGATGCTTCCTCCCCGCTCTCATCCCCTCTGTAGAACCTGAAGGTCTCCTCACAGACGAACTTCCTGTCCCGAGCCTGGTGGTTTCCTGTCTTCCATTTCTTTGAGAAGAACATCCAGGGCTCGGTCCCTTGCGCCTTCTCCTGGCCGCTGTCCTGGCCTCCCGGCTGCTTCAAGTCATCATGCAAAAAGTACTCCCGGGTGCAGAAGTCGGGCGAGGACAGTGAGAAGTCCACCTGAGCCCGCCACGCCCAGCCACCCTCAGAGGGGGCCTCGTCTTCATGTTGGAGGAGGACGGACCAGAAGTGGGGAAGCCAACCGAGTCCCGAAGCCTCGCAGGGATGAACAGTGTTCATTGCCTGTGACTGCTCTCAGCTCTGCGTCACTGGACAGGGGCCGTTTGGTGAGCTTGTTAAAGAGGGGCCGAGGACTCGGGCTCACCCCGTCCCCTGTCCCCTGAAACCCTGCACTACAGCTTTCCTCCGGGATGTCTTCGTCCTCCTCCTCCTCCTCCTCCTGGGGCCACAGGGATTTGTTCACGCTTTGAATAAAAGATCCGGGTCTACACAGCCTCTGGGCACAGGGAGGCCCTCAGGACAGGGGCTTTGGCAGGGGCTTAACGAGGGGTCCCACGGGGCTGGAGCCAGGTTCAAGTGCACTTTCTACCCTGGTGTGGGGCGGAGGGGTCCCAGCAAGGTCCCCCAGCGCCCTCGCTGCCACTTTGACTTTTCTGTTTTGTATTTCTGTTTCACTGATCATTTTGAAGAAAAAAAGAGATCCAAAGAAATCTGCAAGTATTGACCTACCCGTAGATTTAACTGTGTGTTCATATTTCAATTTAAAAGCTCTAGGGTGTCCGGGCATTGGGGGCGCACCCCTGTCGTCTCAGCACTGGTGTGGGGGCGCTGAGGCAAGAGGATCTCTGTGCATTCGAGGACAGACTGAACTGTGTTGAGAGCTCCTGTCTCAGAAAACCAAAACAGAAGTGAGTCTGGCTCACAGGGAGCACGAGGCTGCTGTCTCACACGCCTGCCTCACGCTGCCTGCCCGGCGTGTTTGCCTCCAGCCCGGCACAGGCGGCAGCACCTAGCGCTGAGCACTTACACCCACACGGGGCGAGAGCACGGCACCCCCCGCCCAGCAATCCCGAGTGTGCAGCGGACCCCTGAGCAGGACTCGGGACGACCGTGTGGGGCCGCACTGCACACCGCTGCTTCCTGGTCACGCGGGTGCTGCAGCCTTGTCAGCTCTCAGGGCTGCAGCTGCAGGGTGACTTCCCGGGCGAGGCCGGAAGCCGGTGACTGTCCCTGAACTCTGTCCAGATGCAGAGCAAAGGGGACTTGGAGACACCTGGTTGGATCGTATTGTGGGTTTCTTGCGTTATCAGTGTGATTGAATTTGGTGGCTAACTCCTGGCTTGGTCTCTCTGTTCCATGAACACTCACGTCTAGGACTGCAGAGGAGGCGAGGGCAGAGGGTGAGGCAGCTGTTCATAGGAGGTGAAATTTCTCTGGATTTAACATTGTGAAAGGCACGATAGAGATCTGCCCGGAAGGGTCATTTTCCTTTGGTGCTAAAATTCTGCCCCTAGTGGCTCTCTCTCCTCGTAATAGAAGAATCCCTAAGGGGGCGGTGGTTGCACTCAAAGGCAGGAAGAGCTGTCCAGTTGGTTATTTTAAACAAGAATTGAAACTTTCACCATTTTTGGCCGACTTTGAAAACCAAGGATTTTCCCCGTATTTTTAAATAAACCACTAATCTACATGTACCCAGCCTAGCTGGTATGTTCAAGCATAATTCTATATAATTCCCACCCCTGCGCATTCATCTGACACTGACGCTTGTAGTAGAACAAGATGTTGTGCTTGAAAAGACTTAATTTCAGATTCCTGCTGTGCAGTTGGAAAGGAAACTCATTGGGCCTTGAAGCTCTGGGCTTGGCCCTGCGCCTCTAACTCAAAACGACCGGCTGCACCTGGGGTCATCCCTCAGGGTGTGAGGGGCCACTTTCCTTCCGTGGGTTAGGGAAAGTGCTTAAGCTTTAAAACGTGTATATTGATTGTCAGATGCCCTGAAATGGGAACCCTTGCACTTTGGCCAACTAATCCAGTTAGAGACGTGATCGCCGCCGCCTCCTCCTGAAGGCGCTGGGAACTTGGCGACCTTCTGTGTGACGCTGCTCGCTGTCCCCACGTCTCTGCCTCTCGTGTCCTGGCTCGCTCGCTCTCATAGATGCTGAGGAAGAGGGTAGCTGGGTAATAAAAGAGGAAAATGCCCAATCTTGGAGCAGAAAGGAGAAATTGTGAGACTCATTTAAGTGTAGGAAAGCAATTGAGATTTAACCCCATGAGCCACTTTGGCCTGGAAAAACAAACATGATGTTGCCTTTGAGACAGTACATTTTCTTGATAGCCATTCCTTGCCAATCAAGATACAGCTGTTGGTCATGATCTATGTTTTTGTAAACCTGTGCTATTGAACCCTTCCCTGTAAAGCCACCCTTCTGTGAAATATCTATGGCACATAATGCTTATAAATTAGGCCACGTTTTATCCTGAATTCTTTCCAATGGAAATAAGTGCTCTCACATTCAATTTTTTTTTTTTTTTTTTTTTTTTTTTT